GCTCCATCACCAGTAGAGTCACTCCACTCAATAAACTTCATAAACAAAGCAAAAGCAACTTTGGAAAAAGTGGTTAGCAAATCTGATATCATAGATGTGTGAACAGAGCTGGTTTCTAAATTCCCCCAGATCCCCAGTTTGCTGAGGGCTCTATCAGACATCCTTCCACGGGAGTCAAAAGAGGGGACCTCCAGGCTCTTACTACATGATCTCTGTTGACATTTCTGCTCTAATAAGAACTCATATTTTAATTTCAGCTGATTCAATTTCACTTGGAAAATAGGGTCTGTAGGATTAGAGGAAACCAAACAATAAAGCTCTCTGAGCTCTAAAAATATTGGTAACAATGAACCGTCAACTGTGAGGGTTGACAATTCACTAGATCCTGCTGAGATGATGCAATTCTTAATACTTGCAAAGCATCTATACGTGTAAGGCACAAAAATTTGGGGAGTTAAAAATTAAAGTAATATTAATATAAACCTCCATAAAATGCCTATTCAGCCCCATGTACCTTACCCCCTGTAATTTGACAATAGTGTCCCAAGGTTTTATTGTGACAACTCCAGCAATCACAAGAAAGAGATGGGAAATTTGCAACCTGCCTTGTCCATCTAGAAAAACTGGAATTCATACCCAGGGCATCTGGTATCCACAACTCAAATCTAGAACTTCTCATACCACCATACCACACTGTTTTCATCTACAAGGTTATAATGACCCTTTCAAAGGAGTCTATAGTCTTGGTTATAGTTCTTGACCATATAACTACTTATAACTGCATCGTTCCCCAAGCACCTCCTCTCCACATCTTTGCACAAACTGTCCTCCTTTACAATGATCTATTATCCTCTCAAGTCTTGGCTCAACTCTACAAGCTGAGTTAAACATATCTTCCATCTTCTTCTATTGTAAAACTTAGCTTACCTTGAGTTGAAAATTTTTTCATCTGGTGAATCCCATTTGTCTACAAGGATTTTGAGAACAGAATATGTGTTCATTTATGTCCCATAGAACCTAACACAGAGCCGGACACCCAGAGGCTGCTCATGTCACGTTTTGTGAACAAATGAATGAATTAATCAAACAGAAATGAATGAATAGCCATCACTCCTAGGTCTCCTTTGTGAAATAAGAATTGTTCCTTATGGGAGGATTTAAAGAATAAAAACTAGAAAAGTCAGAAAATATCAGGCCTCAAGGGTGGATTCCGAGTCCAGCTTTGAGACAACTCTCATGCCCGCCGACATAAAACATTGTGTACGAACATCTCAGGCAAAGACAATTTGGGGAGCCTCATATTGACCTGAAATGGCAGAGCTCCAGGGATGCTGAGTGGGAACCCATTATGTGGGCTTTCCTTCTTGTGTCCCCCATACTTCTGTGATTGAAGCCCTTTTCCTATAGGCAGAGTCCTGCCTGGGCCAAGTGAGGATGCAGCCGGGACTATCACTGCCAGCAGTGGACACACTCAGCTTTCCAAGGTGTAGCTGACTCTGAGGTGCTGGGGCCATTCAGTGCCCCTGGGGAACAGGGAATGACTCTCTGTCCTCCCAGAGCTCAGCTGGAAAGCACAGCATATAGCAGGGTGTTTCCTTAGGTCCTGAATAGATGTTTTAGTGGCCACTGCCTGGCATTCCCAGGTACTCAAAATTCTTCATTGAGTGGATGAATGAATGAATGAAGACTCAGATTAGAGAAAAGAAATGAAAATAACCTTTATCAACCCCAATCTGCTCTTCCTAGGAGCTTGCTTGTATTTCTCCTTATCCATACAAAAGTTACACATATTTCACACCTGGTTCAAACCCACATCCATCCCCAACAGTGTACTGGGTAGATAACAATCACCTGTGGAGTTTTTTTACTATTCATATTTTAAGGTGTTTATGGATTGTCACCTCAAGTAGACCCTGTAGACTAATGCTTTGTCTTCTATTCTTTTTTTTTTATTATCCCTATCACAGAGTACTAAGGTGTGACTGTCACCCTCTGACAGTTTGCGCCTCTGAATACAAGGGAAGAGGAACTAAAAGATGGAGAAGGAAAGGGATGGTGAGGGAAAGGGAAAGAGAGAAGAGGTTTTGGTGGCAAAGAAAAACCATGTTTTGTACAATGCAGCCTGTGCTAAAATTAAAATAGAAATGGCTTTCAGGATGGCATATGTAATTACAATTAATTAAATATTCTGTTACCCAAATTATTTAATTACCAAAGCTTCCCACAGCCTCTGAGTTGATTTAATCACAAATGCCATAAAAATTAAGGAAGTGGTGAATGGATGGCTTCTTAGCACATGCCCTGTTATAAATGGAATGCACAGCCGGAAAAGGGAGGAGAGTAGACCAAGAGAGGAAGAGTAAAGCAAATGCCTATTTATGCTTCAGTCTGCTGGGGCCTTTGTCTTGGAGTGGGGGGAAGGGGTAGAGGAGAAGAATACAATTAGGGAAATGGACTAAAAGAATATGCCCAAAAGAATGTGCCATAAACCAGAGGGGTTCGGCCCCAGGGCTAGACAGAGAAAAAGGATGTTCTCAAGAGTCAGGCAAACCCAGGGGCACCCAGCACTGGCAGTTACTAGCTGAATGAACATTTCTGACTTTATTTTTCTCCTTCATATACCTAGAGTAACAATAATGGAAACACAGCCACTCATGAGGTCACCGTGCCGATAAAAGAAGTCAATATACATAAACCACTCGACACGGTGAACGGCCATGGTCCACTCAGTGATTGTCAATTCTCTACTTCGATTTTGAAAACCACTTGCTGTTTAAATTGGGGCCAGGGAGGAAGTTGGGGAGGAGGGCAGAGCTCTAAGCTCCTGACTCCTGCGTTTCAATTCCCTTGAATGATTGTCTCACTGTGTAAGATGATGCGAGTGCTGATGATACGCTTGCTCCGCTTGTCACCGCCGGCCTCCTTCCCCCAGCCAGCCAGCCACCTCTTATCCTACTTCCCATCAGCCCTGCCCTCTCTCTCACCTGTGGGTCTCTCTGCCTTGTCTGTGGTGCCATCTGTTCTGCTGATGAGCTTTCATCTTCTTTTACATTTTGTTTTCTAGGCTTAAATGATAGCCCATCCATCTCACGCATGTGTTTTATCTCAATAGCCTAAGTGTGTGTGAAGAGCAGAATCTATCAGAGGGAAAGTAAGGTCTTTAGTGAAGTGAAAATGTGAGTGCTGATTGGGACTCGGGATTTGGGAGCAAAAGACAAGATTCAAGGATTTGAAATACGGGGTCTTCACACATCCCTGGTCCTTCTTGCCTCCACCATTCTCAGTTACAAATGTGGAGACCAAGACACAGAAATGGAAAATGTGTCTGCTCATATGTGATTCCTACCAGAATTCAATCCTGAATTCCTTCTTGGTGAATGCTCTTTTTGTGATAAGCCCCTGCTTTTTCATTTTCATTATTCACAAGTTATAAACTTACATGTTATTATTTACTACAAAAAGCCGCAGAGAGCAAGATTGCCATGGCTAGTGTAGGTTGCCCCAGTGCTCCTTGGTCTGATGGCAGGTGCTCCTATGCCAACCCCTCCCCCACCCACTTCTGCCCCTGCTTGGGTGTTGGTGAGGCTGTGTGGGTACCAGGAATGGGAGTCCTGCTTCCTTAGACAGTAAAGATGCATCTGTGAAAAACAAGAGGTCTGCGGCTTATCTACATGGGGCCTGAACTTCAACACGTACAGGCACATGACCCTGCAGGAAGCTTATGCTCACATGTGATGGATCTGACCCGGAGGTCAGAGCTGACTTAGAAGCATGGCTAGACCTGGTCCTATCTGAAAGTTCTAGACTTGGAACACTGTCCCCGTGCCATCTTGAATATGTCCCTTGACCTGTACATGAACTTGGTCTCACATTTTCCCCTTCCAGCTTTGCTCCAGGGTAATGGATGAGCTCTAGCAATTTGGAAAGTCTCCAGATGGGATTTGTCCTGGTTTTAACATTTGCCTGCAAAAGCTGATTCCAATATTCAGAAAGAGTGAATTTTCTTATCATGACTCTACATCTACATTTGTAGAACACATTTTATCAAGTACTTGGCAGGAGATATGGAGTGGCAAGGAGGTAATTCTCTTGTATTGAACTGATTTGAGAATTTTTAATAAAAACTCCCCCCAAATCCAGTTGCACTGATTCAGATGGAATTGGTAGTGTGTGCTTCAGACTGAATTAACTCTATAGAGACTGAATTATTAGAGGAGTCCTCAGGAGCCATTCCAGTGCCCACGCTTGTGTACAATGCTGTGCTCACCCTTGACTACAAAAAGCTGTCAGTCAAATAATGGATCTTATTCATCTCAGGCTATTATAGTCCATAGAGACCAGTAGATTGCTGAGAAGAGGGTTAGCAATATTCACATTTGGATCCCTGAGTGTTTATTTTAGAAATACAAAAAATCAATTTCAATCCAAGAGGATTTATGTTTCCCCACACCGAAATCAGGCAAGCTCAGTTTTTGAGAGCTATTTATTATATGTTACTGCCTTGGAGTCACCTATATAGGCTATTCTCAGGCTGCTAGCAGACCCACATTTCATGTGCTCTCTCTCTAGGTCCCCAAAACCAGAACTCTGTCCCTCTACCTGATGGATCCTTACTCCAATCCCCAGATCCAGCTAGAGAGATGAGAGGCAGCATCTAAATAGTCTTACCTACAACTGCTGGGCTAAGCACTGTCACCTTTCTGGGCTGAGATCCTGGTGCCCACAATTAACCACTGCCTCCTCTCGGCAGAATAGGGAGATGGCATTTCTGGGATGGCCACACGGACATAATAATGGTTAATAATAACAGGTTATGCTTAGCTATGCTCTAGGCAGTGTTCTAAGCACTTTACACTTACAAGAGCATTGAAGGTCTTCCACTAACAGCTGAGTCATGCGCCATCCCTGAGAGCTCCCTGCCTGCTTTCCCAGGCCCCAGCTCCCAGACTGGCTACACCTTTGATATTTTGTTGATTACCACTTTCTTTTACTATTTCCAGAACACCTTATAGGATTAGAGCTTTGAACTCTAATTTGAGGACCAGGACCAGTCACCCATGAACCAGATTCCCAGGTAATGATTGTATTGTCTTTGCCTGATTTGCAAAACCCCTCTGTGTGCTGGCATTCCATTCCCTGCCCTTTGATCTGCTGGGATCTCTGCTGTGTGGCTCTTGGCTGAGGTGGCCTCTCTGTTTGGACACTAAACCTCATCTATTCCCCAAAAAAAACCCACACTTGATTGGGATATGTCTCATGCGGGGCATGAACTGGATGCCTCAGGTCAGAGTCTGGAAAAATATCATGAGATGCCAAGATTGCTCAACAGAGAGCTCCTTGTGGGAACCCCATAGCTAACATGCATTTGGAGTGGTTTAAAGTGAACTTGATTTATGCCAATAACGAAAAGAATGATAGTGTGGTTGTACCATGGATCTTTCAGATTCGATTCTGAAAATTTAGCAGAAGGTATGGACTTAGTCCAAATGAATCAATGTTTAAAAAAGTAAGTGCTAGTTAGTGAAAGATGGCAGGGACATTCCAAACAGCAGTCTGGGCTTGTCTTCTGTTTATTTCCGCTGCTCCTCAGCATCCTGAGTTCTAATGGTCCCTGATATACGGCATGCTGGAATATGATTACAGAGCAGACGTTGTTATTACATGCTGCGGCTGTCACCTTGCAGCGGTTACTACAGACGTCCAGGGATTCATAATAATGAAGCAGAGATAACATGGATAATTAAAACCTAAAGAGAATCCAATATCATTTTTAAGCCATTTAGTTTCTCCCACACCAAATCCTTTCTCTTAATGTACAAATACATAGACTATCTTGAGCTGTACCTCTTCTGTCTACTCATACCCATTCTATGGCAGAGGGAGATAAGCCTGATTTGTAAAATTATTAAAAGCCAGAGAGTAGCAAAAGAAAAAAAAAAATAGAAAAGCCCTGGATAATCCACAGCCTGATTAATCATGCCTGGGTGACAATGAGTGAGAGGTAATACATTTATATTTTCATGATAGGTCCATCTTTAGGGGCCAGAATAAGCCAGGTATCAGCTAATCAGTGCCTGGATAATTAAGTGCTGGATGAACTTCTATGTGACTCCAAGAAGAAATCTTCTACTGAGGAGGAAATGTCAAATCTAATGTCGTCTAGAATCCTTTTCATTGTCTAAAGCATGTCTCAGCTGTGACTTCAGATTAGAACTCTTTGCTCGGCCTTCTTATCTGTACATAGGGCCTCATGGTCACCATCAGACACTGCTCTACAGAGAAGGAGATACTGAATCTGAGAGGGATGGGAGCAGCATCTCCAGATGTTGCTTTCTCCCAGGCCCAATGAAGCTTGACAGAGACTCATGGACCCCCACAGTTTCTCCATTACTTATCAGTCTGTATATAACCATCATTGCCCATTCTAGGAGGCCCATCTCATGCAGCCTGGTCCTTTATTGACCAGGGGGTGCAGACCTTCTAGTAATATCCCTAAGACCCTGAGGCTGAGATCTTCCCCAACTGGAGAAGAGACAGTGGGATGAAACTTACTTTAACATAAAAGGAGGCAAAACTGGTATTGAACTCACTGGTTGCAGATCACAGAGGCCCATACACTGGAATATTGAGAAAAGTGAAAGTGTACCAAAGTCTTCCAAGTAATATTACAATATCACAGAATCTCCCATGTTTTAGCTTAATCCCTCTCTTGATTAATTGATTAGATGACTCTATCAGACAACTAGTGGCCAAGTACGTCGTCCAACAAATCAAGTTACATTAGACCCATCCAGAATATCCTTTCCAGAATATTGCTTTTCCAAATAGGAGTATCAATTTCCACTGCTTTGTTCATCATTTAACACCTACTCTTTCTGTTCAAACACAAAGTTTTATTAAATGAAGTATTTTCTTCCTGTCTCCTCTCTCTCAACACCTACATCTCATCCATTAATAAATTCTACCAACTTTACCTTCAAAATATATCTAGCACCTGCTCATTCTTCTACCTCCACTGCACCCCACTCTGGCCTTGGCCCTCAGTAGATCTCAGGGAAACTGACAACCCTGTTTCGACCCTAGTCTCATTATAGTCCATTCTCTGTATGGCTGCCGGCATGAACTCTTTTAAATCCCAAATCATATGTCACTAAAATCTTGACTAACATTTGTGTTGAGGGTAATAGTGCCAGCAAATGACTTCTCAGCCAAGTCCCCATAAAATTCTCCCTCCCAAGCAGCTGTTTAAGTACTTGAACTGATCACTGGAACAAGATCATAAAAAGTCCTGTAGGTCACTATGATGTGCTTGTCCTTTACTTTGTGTGATTTTTATAAGATATTTGATCAAAGATTGTCCATCAAATTGAAAATTCTCATTCTCAAAGGTGACTTTGCTCTGCCTTCCTCAAGAGATTTTTTTTTTAAAGATTTATTATTTATCTTTATACAAGAACTGGGGTACAGGCCAGAGGTATAAGAGGGTGAGAGGATTCACCAGAGTGGGGAACAGAACAGGCTGATGGACCAAAAACACTGCTGAGGGGAGCAGCAGGTGAGACAGGAGAGATCTGCTGCACCATCTGGGTACCTCCCTGGCTGGCTGGGAATCAAACCACCACTGCAGAAGCTGCAGACAGCTTCACAGTGCTGCACTAAACCTGCTGTGCCATCGGGGAGGCCCCCTCAAGAGATTTTAATAAGTGCTCATGTTTAGTGGTTCTTCACTATGTGGAAGTACCCACAGTCAGGTTTCTGTCATCCCCTTAGATTTCCCCTGGGCTCATAGGAGATCTCAAATTATGTGTGCATATGCACACCTTTGCAAGACAACCTTCTCAGTCATCTTTTAAAGGTCCAAGGAAAGATATTGCTTCAACTATTTCACCTAAATCAACAGTATGTTATAACCAATGAATATTTGTATTTGTAAGTAGGGTAGTGGGTTAATACCATAAACTGTTGCAAAACAAAGGATAAACTAATTTGACTTCAGAAAATTAAACATGTAATCCCTTTTCCTACCAGGGAGAGGTGCTTTGTTTGAGATCCATGTAATGGCAGCCTAGTTTGATGTAGAACTTCCATATCATTCTGTTTTCTATATTTTATGTGCTCCTATTTTAATGTGTAATTCACATATTGTGATGTCTATTTATTGATATACTTGATAACCAAAGAATTCAGTGTAGCTGATAAAGACATATACTATAGAGTAAATACAATTCATGAAATTTAGAAAAATGGCTCAAAATAAAATAATGTAGGGAAAGAGAAACATCTGGAAATGAGCTTAACACTAAAAAATTTATCTTTGAGGTTGTGTATAGTAACAGCAGGATAACCAGAAGTTTGATTTCAAAAATTCGTAGAGCTCAAGATAAAAACAAAATCAATTTATGATTTGCATTCTCCATAAGCTTAAAACTAAATGAATCATCCAGGAGAAGTATCTGGTAACAATATTGAATAAACTCACCTAAGTGTCCTTGTAGGTAGAACACACTAATAAAGAGTTAATAGAGACAAAAGCATCTTCCATCATTCACTGTGAAAAAGGTACAAAGGGGCAGAATCATATAAGGGTTAAGGAGAATTTACCCCAGGGATAGGAGAGGGAAGATGCTCAGCAGTTTAGTGATCCTTCTTATATGTTTTTGTCTTTCAGATAGAATTAAAAAACAAAATCTTCCTCACATCTGACACTGGAATAAAAAACTAGCTTTACTATTGTGGCCCTTTTTCATGGGCTTGCACTGGGTTCTTAAACTGTGTTGAGAATCCTTTGTATTAAACAGAGAATGATGTGTTAGTAGATTATTGGGCCAAAAACTCTCATAGCACAACTTAAAGAAATGAGCTCTCCTAGGTGTTGGGCTCTATCACCACCAGAAGAAAATGGAACTTCCATGACAAATTTACTGCCGCTCAGTTAAGTAGACATTTATTGAGAACCTAATATGTACGAAGTACTGTTAAGTGAATATGATAAAGAAAAGAAAAAAAAAAAACTTGTCCTGTTATCCTGCAACCAAGTCAAGGTCATAATTAGAGAAAACAGAGAGGTAGATTCAATCATCTCTACCCAGAGCATTGCCAAGTCTTAAGACTGCTCTGGCAGCAATGTGAAGGGGCCTCTAACTTAGCTTAGAGGAGTGAGAAATGGCCACCCAGAGGGATAATCTCTGAATTGCATCTTGAAGAATATTCTATCACCCTGCCCCCAACCCACAACAGCCAGCCACCTGGTCATTGTGTGCACGTGTGTACATGTGACACAGATGTGTTTGTGGGATGAGTGCTGGAGTGGGATGATTTTGTAAACCTAGAGAAAAGCTCACGCAGAAGCAAGGAAGCAAGTAAATTGGTTTATCACTGAAACTTGAGGTGAGAGTCAGGGAGTTGTAGGAGTAGTATCTGGAGAAGCACTGAGAGGCGAAATAAAAGGAACTTGAACTTTTTCTGTAAGCAACAAGGAATCACTAAAGTAGACATGACCACATTTGCATTCTTGAAATAGGGAAAAGACATTTGGAAAAAGGGAAAAAGAACAGTTTCGAGAATCCTTAGAGGAAACGTTATTAGAACTTGGTAATCTTTCAGGGGGAGCGATGGGGGAAGGGAAACCAAGATGTATTTCCCGTTACCGATGGGTGATGATGAACTAAGTGAACCCAGAAAGAGCACATGCATATTCTAGGTTCTTCATCTATAAGAGGGTCACTTTTTGGATAGATGTGGGCCTCTTATGCCCAACTCCATAGCCACTTTCAACATCCTTAAGATGTGCTCTGAGTTGTGATAGGGATTCTCTCCCACTGCATCAGTCTGCAGTTAAAAGGCAGTGTATTGAGAAGCAATGCTTAGAAGTAGGAATCAAGAGTTCCTAGCCTCTACTAAACTAACATTGAATAATCAGGATATTAGTCACCACAAGTCATCAGCTCTATGCCTCAGTTTTCTCACATGTGCAGTGGATGTTTGACTGGTCTGTCCCTCATCTCAAGAGTCAACCTAACAGCCAGACACAGTACTTTTGGACCATGCTTTGAAAATATGTGTGCCCTGTCAAGGCAAGATACTGTTATTATTACAGGAGAGGAAAGCAAAACAAGGGAAGGAAAGAGAGGGATCTAGAAATGCAAGGGCAATTCTGCAGAGCCTAGAGAACTTTTTAATCATTTCCCTCCTTCTTTTCATTTTCTTTTCAGTAGGCAATGAAAAATACATAGAAATATGACCACAGAAGTGCTGCCAAATTCAATACTCATAATATCTATTCAGTATTCAGCAATACACATGCAGTATTGCAGATGGTTGTGGGATGTGATGGTCTCTTTCCAATAGTTCCAAAGGGGAAAACAAAATGTTATAAGACAACAGCCAGTCATTTGATGCATCCTGATTGTTTAAGTGATAGGAGAGTCAGCAATCATGTGCAAATTAAAACATAATTATGCACACAGACCACCCAGGATTAAGTAACATTTCACAGATGCATGCTAAATTACTAAACACACTTTGAAATAAATTGTGACCATCATTTGCTATTTTCCCAAGAATATTATTACTAAAAAACAGTCAAAATACAGCAATATGCATAGTCAAGTGAGTTAGTACGCATGCTACTAACTCGTTACCCCAAAGGGTCTGTAAACAGTTTATGTAAACATGCACCAACAGACACATTGCTCAACAATACACCCTTCCTAAGACTGTTTAGTTTTGGGGTAGCTGGTCACATAAATTGCAGAGCTAATCAGCATCACCTCATTATAATGACCAGCTGCAAGACAGTAAGCAGCCACATCATGGCTGTTGGCAGAAGGGTCAGCAACACAATGATATTGGCCTTACTGGACCAAGAATTGGAAGATGAAGAGAGACTAATTTATGTGAGGACGTACAATATAAAGTCAACCAATAGCTGATTCTTCATGGTCATCCTGTCTCCGTCCCACTGGCCCAGTTCCACAAAGTCAGGCAACTCCAAAGAAGACATGACTCTAATGCAGTATCTTGGGGCCATTTTGTGAATTGTGCTTCTTGGTCTGTCTTCTTTTTTTGCCACTCCCAGACTAGATCATTCCCTATCATCTCTACCCCCCTCGCAGGCACGGTACCAGGCACATCGTTAACACTCAGTGTGTGTTTGTTAAGTGCAAGAAATCTTAAAACAAAGTTGAGGGCCTGATCTGGTTTTAGAATGTCCTTGGATCCAAGAATCACAGAGTAAATTATACTTCTGCATTTTGTCTCAGAAATCATATTCATTGATAGAGGGTGAAACTGAGTGAAACCTATCTATTCTCTTACTTTATATCTATGAATAAACTTTCATTCTTTGCGTGCTTGAAGCTCTTTTCCTTTTACCAGTGTCTTGGGAATGAGCCATTACTCAATGTTGAAGTGAACAAATTAGCAAGTATTTATTGAATGCTAACTAAGTGTAAACTCTGTGTTAAGTACAATGGAAAGATCTTTAAAGATTATAATCCTGTGTGAGGAGATTAAGGAAATATAGATGAAATAATTTGCTAACAGTAATAAAATGGCATATGTTTAGAAATGATAACAAATTTTATGTACTCCTTCCAAAGCTATTTTAAGATGTGATAAAATACATGTAAGCAGAAATACAGAAGATAATTTAAATTAAAACAGGCCAACACTAAGAAAATGAAACAGAAAGATAATTGTACTCCTCATTTGGTAATAGGTGCTGCTGTCACCAGCATGAAGACAGACTTTCAGAATCCCAGTAGCCAAGGTAATAAAGATTGGGAGTCTTTGCAATCCCTGCCTAGGAAGTATTCTCCTTGCCAAGAGAAGCATACATTTTCCTGATATTAAATTCTGAGTGAAATTTATAATGTGGATCATTGTATCAGGAACATTGAACAACATAATGGACAATAGCTTCCACAACAGTTTTTAGAGAAAATGGGGAAATATTCTTCATTTGACTGATTCTTAAAATGGCCTTCCATAAAAGTCATGGGCATGGTAACCAACATGAGTCAGTGGAAATATTTCTGCAGGGAGTGAAATTAATATAGTCCAGGAATTCAACTTTCTGGACAACACAACAAGAGTCAGGGAGAGAATTTAATAAACTTTCAGCAATAAATGATTGGCATCTACTTAAAATGTATCAGTTATTTCAACCAAGTTTTTGTCTAGAACTAGAGTGCAGTAATTTTAGTACTGAATAGTGGTAAATAATAGAATGTTGAAAGAAGAGAGGGTCATGTGCGTTAGATTGATATTTTAGATGTAGATCTTACAGACATGACAAAGCTGATATTTTGTAATAAAAGTTAAGAAACTTGACGGTTATATTTGCCCGGACTTAGGGCCGCAAGAAGGGCCTCAGCAGGACCATGTGTTTCTTAATTAATTCCTGGATGCCAAGGCAAGAAGGTGGGTTTTGATTTGTACATTAAAGGGTGAATGTGTTTAGCCCATGGATATAAAATAAAGATAATATAACTGTTACGGAGCAGCCCCAATATAAAATGGGTTGCCTGGCTGTGGGTCCTCACCCACACGCTTAAAAGGGACTTATTAATACTCCACTATAGGCACACACAAAAGGTTAATAAAAGGTTTATTTACAAGGGAAATGGAAATAAGGAAATGTACAACTCAGGGAGAAAATAGGGAAATAAAGTCTTTAATGCGTCCTACCCGATCCGCCGACCTGGAAACCCAAAGGCACTCTCAGAGTTGGCCCAGCCTGCGAGCTGGCGGGGAGCCAAAAAGGGGAATCCCCCAAAGCCCACGTGTCTGGTTTTATACCAAACTTGGTATAACCTGCTTAACCCCACCCTCGGGTTCCAGCAACCTTCCCTTTGGTGGTGATGGGGTTTGTCTTGCCCAATGTCTTTTGGCTTTGGTCTGGAGTGGGGGTGGAGTCCACAAAGCCTGCATGGAATTAGCTTTAGGACATCCTTTTCCCCCTAACATAATGAGTAGAACAGTGTCTTCAAAGACTTGCCCCTCAATTTTCCCCTCCTCCCTCATAATTCAGTCCCCATCAAACCTCCAATTCCATGACCACAAAGGGGAGGTATCCTATCTGACTCAGGTAGTCATAGTGTTGAAACGTTACCCAGGACATAGATCAATTCTTCATGCGGATTTGACTTTACCGACGGGGTCACTTTTTACTAGAAAGAAGCCACATTCACAGTGCTGGTCTTGTGTATAGGTAAAGAACCAAGTGCTGTGGTGGCATAATTCACTGGGAGACCAGGCTCAGGACCATGTAGATTCTTGCTGCAAATAACTTTTTCAATGGTCTATCATAAAGTGTCTGGATCCACCACTGAAACCCACTGTTCAGGCTTCCTATCTTATGCAGATGCTGTTAAAATAAGAGACCATAGAGTTTTAATCTTCTACCACCTGCTGATAAAATCAAATGGGTTATAGATATAACCCAATGCAGAGATCACAAGCTTACTACCTACACATGTTTGGGTGGGCTAGAGAGTTAAAATATGAAATTTTCACATCAATTTCAAATTTTTTGGCTAGCATAAAAATTAGAAGTTCTTGCAATACCAGACTACACTACTCATGTAACAATCAGCTAGATCAGACTAGCCCCTCCTCAGTCACTGTAGGCTTCCTCCATTCTGCCACAATCCCCACCACTCTCTATCATCTGCCAGTCCTATTCACCCATTTACATGACCTGCCGCATCCTACAATTTGAGTTTTTAACCCTGTATAACCCAATGTGCTCATGTTATGTCCCACAGAAGGGAAGAGACATCGGATTAGTGACGAGCCAGAGATGACCCAGTCTCCTAGTTCTCTCCATGGAAGATCTAAGCCCTCAGGAGGAAGGGTGAATAGGTATAAAGGAGGCCAGCCCCCAAACAAGGAAGAGGAGTCAAAAATGTTTCACATGGCTCACACAGTTTTACCCCAGGCTGGCTCTGTATGCAATATTTTACAGCATCCTCCAGAAAAATCAATTTGTTTAAAATAGCAGCTGATTTTGCCCTGGGTGAAAATGTTTGGCATATGCAAAAAAGGGAGCATTGTGTTTTCTTGAAAGCTCATCCTAACCCATGAACAATTAGAATTGTTCGCTCTACAAATACACAAAAAAACTGCTCAAGTGCATATTCTAGGGAGAGACAGATTTAAAATTTGGGAATGTAAGGTTTTATTTAATTCTTTAAGAGCTTTTCTTTCAATCACATACAGCTTTTCTCTTTAGAATCTTTGAAAACACTCTCATCAGTATTTCATGCCTTTAAAAAAGTTTGTGGCTCTAGCTCCCTTTTAGGAGAAAGAAGCAAAGTGAAGGGAGGAGGGGAAGTGAAATAAATGGTTCTGCCTAAATGAAAAAAAACGCAGGCAGAACATTTCCAAGCTGCTAAACACCAGAAGGAGATAACAGGCAGTGTGCAAAATGCCAATCACGATGGTAACAATAATGAAAATAGTCCTCACAGCAGTGCTCACTGTGCTTTGGAAAGCCTCAAGTTCTAAAAGTCATGAGCTCCTCTGGGGCCATGAGGCCTTCCTCACTTATGAGCTGTACATTCCAGGGGCGTGTGTCAGGAATGAGAGTCCCCAAGGTAGAACCCAAAAGAAAGAGCCACCTTTATCCCTCTGTTGCAATGCTAATTGGTGTGGCTTTTTCTCGAAGGCAGAAGGCTTTGTAACTTTTTCCACTTCTGTCCCTGGCAGATCTTCTTCCACAGGTGTATGCCAGGCAGAGGGCATGAGTAATCAGCTCCGGCTCACCTTGACCCTCACCTGCTCTCCTCTACCTTTCTGCAATTTGCCAGCCATCCTTTAAATGTTCTTCTCCATGAAGCCCTCCCTGACCCAAGGTGCCCTCCATCCACTAGAACTAAATTTTATTTCCTCTCCTGCTAGTTGTTGCCTGCAATTCCTTCCCAGCACTTTGTTCTGCCTGGTATTATAGTTCTAGTTTAGCTGTCCACATCCCTCACTAGATTGTGAATGCCTGGAAACTGGGAACAATGCCTCACTATGTTTGTACCCTCAAACCTTTCAGGGTTTTGTCTATAGTAAGCACTTGATAAATGTTTAATGAATAGAGCACTCCACTTTTTAAAAATGAACTGCTTTGGGCCTCCCTGGAGGCGCAGCAGGTTGAGCACCATACCGTGAAGCTGTCTGCAGCCTCTGCAGTGTGGGTTCGATTCCTGGCCAGCCAGGGAGAAACCCACATGGCGCGGCAGACCTCTCCTGTCTCGCCCGCTGCTCCCCTCAGCAGTGTTTTTGGTCCATCTGCCTGTTCTGCTCCCTGCTCTGTCTCTGGTGAATCCTCTCACCTTCCTGCCCCTCTGACCTATACCCCAGTTCTTGTATAAATAAATAAATCTTTGTGTGTGTGTGTGTGTGTGTGTGTGTGTGACCCTCGCTGGCGGCCGGGGAACGAACCGGCGCTGCAGAGGCTGCGGGCAGCCTCGCAGCCAAGCGCTCAACTGCTGCGCCACCAGGGGAGACCCCAATAAATAAATCTTTTTAAAAAAAAAAGTAAAAAAAAAAAAAAACGAACTGCTTTGCTGGAATGAAAAGGATCTGTGTGAGACCAGCCAGATAAAATATAAGTAAATAGTGGGAATATGGCCAAGTTCATGCCTCATGTTAATCTGTCTTAAACAACTTAAAGGGGCAACCTTATCCTCATACCTCTCTCCACTCCAACATGGCAGCAGATGACTTGGCATCCTTAGAAGACTAAGCTGGCACAATTTTAGTTTTCACCATTGCAAATGTTTTCCCTTTCTTTCTCCATTGCTGAGAAGGGAGAGTCCCTCTCTTTCTGAAGTATCACTCCTAAGTAGGGTCATCCATCCCCACACTCAACTTGACTTTTCTCTTTCATTTGCAAGATAACTCAGTCTTCTCCCCTAGTAAAATAAGTTCCCCCTTCCTTAAAGTCACCTTCCTTTCGTTCCTACTTAGCAGAGCGCTTCTGCCCACCAGAGGCCCAGCCTGTGCCACCTTAGCCTGTGCTGCAGGAAATGTGTCCCTATTGTGAACATATTATAAATGTTCTGAGATCCCTCTTCCTGGGTTAGCAGGCAAGAGAGCAGAGCCAACTGCAAAGACTTCAGGTCAGAAGAGGCTCTGTCTTGTTCTGTGAAGCCACCAGATAGGACTTGCTGGCTGCGGGCAAATCAACCTTTTCAATCCCACTAGGGACCAAGCAGTCAGACCAAGAAGACTTTGACAATGGGGACCACCTTTGCATCTCCACAATGCATTCTTCAGAAATCAGGGAAGTGATTAAACCTTAGCATTTGCCCTCCTCTGCACATCTCTTTAGGTCAAGATAATTTAGGAAATCAAAAGAGCTAATCCTATAGCCAAAACTCAGAAGCCCCTATCAAGAATAATTACAACCTGACATACATGACTCACTGATCCTTTCTCTTCTGAATCTCTAAGAAGGTATAAAAACTGAACTCCACTTTGTGGTTGTTGGAACAGCTCTCATAGAGTAAAACCGAACCCTTGCTAGGCCTCCCCGGTGGTACAGGTGGTTGAGCGCGCACTGTGAAGCTGTCCGCAGTCTCTGCAGCACGGGCTGGATCCCGGCCAGCTGGCGAGAATCCCACATGGTGCAGCAGACCTCTCCTGTCTTGCCCGCTGCTCCCCTCAGCAGTGTATTTCAGTCACCCTTTCCTGTTCTGCTCCCTGCTCTGTCTCTGGAGAATCCTCTCACCCTCCCACGCATCTGGCCTATACCCCAGTTCTTGTATAAATAAATAAATCTTAAAAAACAAAACAAAACTCTTGCTTTGATGATCTAATAACCTCTATCACTGAGACTTTTATTTCAGTCAACACCATCTATCCTGTGGCTCCCCAAAAACCTCAGGAGACAGCCTTAGTTTCTCCTTCCCTCCCCTCACACTCCATCCAAGTCCCAAGGGTGTCCGTCCTTGTCAGCAATGCCTTCAGAACACCTTCCCGATGTGCGTACCTGTGCCCCCACCTCATGTCTGGACCCCTACTGTTACTCTGACCCCATGCTGCCATTCCTTCCCACAGCCAGCACACCACAGAGCATGCTTAGGATGCTGCTCCCTGCTTGAGGTCTCCGCTGGCTCCCTACTACTCCAGGATGA